TGGAAGGGTCTTTCATAAGGGGTCCAGGGGTCACTTAAGTGGGCTCATATTTCTCCTTTGAAAATGTGTATCCTGGGGCTGGCACTGTGGTATAGCAGGTAAAGCCACCGCCTGCAGTGCCCGCATCCCATATGGACGCCAGTTTGAGTCCTGGCTGCTCCACTTCCAACCCAGCTCTGTGCTATGGCCTGGGAAAGCAGTAGAAGATGGCCCAAGTCCTTGGATCCCTGCACCCTTGTGGGAAGACCCGGAAGAAGCTCCTTGCTCCTGACTTTAGATCAGCGCAGCTCCAGCTGATGCTGCCAATTTGGGAGTGAACCAACGGATGGAAGACCTCTCTCTCTCTCTCTCTCTCTCTCTGCTGCCCCTTTTCTCTCTGGGTAACTCTGACTTTCAAATAAATAAATTTTTTAGAAAAAGATAATGTACATCTTGAGGGTCCATTGTCACAACTTAATTTGGTTGCTGTTGTCAATTTGTCTTAGGGCCTCACTCGATAATTCCAATTTTAATATCCTTGTTTAGTCAAATACAGTTAAATGCCACTTTTATAGAAATTCCTCTCTGTGTTTGAGACATTTAATTGGTTGAGTGTTCATGTACACAAATTCACAAGTACAAATTTATACTATCATCATCATCTATACAACTATTTTATTTTATTGTCATAGAAAGTTCTTACTGATCAATTTTAGTTTTTCTGCAATTCTGACCATCAGAATACCAAATCCCCTAGAAAATTTCAAAACTAAACACAAACACTGAGTCTAAAAAAAAAAAAGTAGCGACTAAAGCCATCCTTAACTTTGGTGTGTGCACAGTTAGACTGGCAGACAGCTGGGGCTCCGACTGAAAGGTGAGGGACAAGATTACAGAGTAGGTTTGCCACTCAGTCTTGACATTTAATTAGGACTATTTCTAATGAACCCTGACATATAATTGTATTTGGTTAACAACAAATAGTGAATGGGGCTGGCGCTGTGCCATAGGCGGTAAAGCCATGGCCTTCAGTGCCAGCATCCATATGGGTGCCAGTTTGAGTCCCAGCTGCTCTTCTTTTTCTTCTCCTTCTTCTCCTCCTCCTCCTTCTTCTTCTTAATTTATTTGACAGGTAGAGTTATAGACAATGAGAGAAAGAGAGAAAGGTCTTCCTTCTGTTGGTTCACTTCCCAAGTGGCCGCTACGGCTGGCGCTGCGCCGATCCGAAGGCAGGAGCCAGGTGCTTCTCGTGGTCTCCCATGCGGGTGCAGGGCCCAAAGACCTGGGCCATCCTCCACTGCACTCCCGGGCCACAGCAGAGAGCTGGCCTGGAAGAGGAGCAACCAGGACAGAATCCGGCGCCCATATGGGATGCTGGCGCCTCAGGTTGAGGATTACCAAGAGAGACACGGCGCCGGCCCCGCTGCTCCACTTCTGAGCCAGCTCTCTGTGATGGCCTGGGAAAGCAGTAGTAGTCGGCCCAAGTACTTGGGCCCTTGCACCTGTGTGGGAGACCCAGAAGAGGCTGCTGGCTTTGGATGGGCTCAAATCTGGCCATTGTAGCCATTTGGGGAGTGAACCAGCAGATAGAAAACCTTTCTCTCTCTTTCTCTCTCATCTCTATATCTCTATCTCTACCCCACCCCTACCTCTACCCCTACCCCTACCTCTACCTCTACCTCTATATCTCTCTTTAACTCTGCCTTTCAAGTAAATAAATCAAATCTTAAAAAAAAAAAAGAATGACACCATTATATTATCATAGGCTATCTCACCACTATTTCTCAACATGTTGTCTAGAGATCAATATCAAATTTCACATTCCCAGGAGAAAAAGAAATGACTATTCACTCAAAATTTGGCTAAATTAACAAATATTCAATTTAATGCAATAAATATTGAGTGCCTATGTAAGACACTGATTCAACTTGTTAAAAATAACCAGTATTTCTTTTTTAAACATTGATTTTTATTTATTTATTATTTGAAAGGCAGAGTTAAAGAGAGAGAGAGAGAGAGGTCTTCTATCCTCTAGTTCACTCCCTAATGGCAGCAACAGCTGGAGCTGGACCCATCTGAAGCCAGGAGCCTGCAGCTTCTTCCAGGTCTCCCACGTGGATGCAGGGGCCCAAGGACTTCAGCCATCCTCCACTGCTTTCCCAGGCCATAGCAGAGAGCTGGATCGGAAGTGAAGCAGCTGGGACTTGAACTGGCGTCCACGTGGGATGCCAGCACTGCAGGCAGTGGCTTTACCCGCTGCGCCACAGTGACAGCCCCTATTTATTTATTTTAATTTTATTTGAAAGGCAGAGAAAAGGGTTGGGGGGAGAGAGACAGACACAGAAACAGAGACACACATGCAGCAAGAGAGCCTCCATCTACTGATCCACTTCCCAAATGCCTACAGGAGCCAGGGCAGCGCCACACCCAAGCTAGCAGCCTGGAACACAGTCCAGGTCTTGCATGTCAGGGAGGGGCCCACGCACTTGAACCATCCCCTGCTGCCTCCCTGGTAGCTGCATGAGAAGTAAAGGAGTCAGAACTTGAATCTCACGTTCTGATACGGGGCGCGGGAGTCCCGAGTGCCACCTTAACTACTGTGCCAAACGCCTACCCCAATCACCAACATTTCTCAACATCAGTTACGTGCCTTTCCATGTTTTATTCCTTTTAATCCTCATAGAGCTCTACAAGATAACTTGCATTGCAATCTCCAGTGTATAGACACAAACATGGAGGCACAGAGGTCAAGTAACTTGACCTAAGCAGTGTGGCTGGTAAGTTTCTAGCTAGGCTTCAAACTCAGTCCTGTTTGACTCCAGAGTTCATGTTCTTAGTCCAGTATCAAGGAGACAGAGGGCTTTACAATCTAGCACGACGATGATGTGTAAGGTAATGCAGACTATCCATGGTAGACAGGGCCCTAAGGGAGACGCACAGCCTTATGGAGTTCAAGGGCGGGAAAGTGCCTGCGAAATGTGAGCCATGGTGCCATTTTTCTGTAGCAGGTAGTCTCTGGGCTGGTACTTAAAGACTGCGGCAAAAACTGCATTGGGGTCATGCACAAGGCTCCCACATGTGTGGCAAGGACCCAATTACTTGAGTCATTGCTGCTGCCTCCCAGGGTCAGCATTAACAGGAAGCTGGAGTCAGGGTCAGGAGCCAGGGGAAGAGAACCCAGGCACTCCAAAAATGGATGCAGGTGCCCTAACAGGTATCTTAACTGCCAGGCCAAACACCTGCCCTGATAGGGGTTATGTACAATCCTAAGACGACCTGACAAGGCAGCTGTCACGAGCTTTGCTTTGTAGACAATAAGATGGACGTTCCTGAGAGGTCACAGGGTAGGTGAGTGCCAGAGCCAAGATGTGCATCAGATTCTTCCCGACATCACACCACTGCTTTCCTGCCTTTTACTGCCCTGCTTCAGGGAGATGGAAACACAGAGTGGTGCCATACTGAGAAAAGCCGCGATGGCTGAGGTGAGAAGTTTTTATTTAACTTGGCAGGTTGAGATAGGGCAGGGACAACACTCAAGCTGGAGTCTGGGAATTCTATGAAATCATTGGGTCAGTGGGAGTGAAAAGGCTGAGTTAGAAGCAGTGGTGCAAGTGAACAAAAGGGGAGGATATACAAGAACTCTACACTGATGGCATTTAGAGACCTTGAACTCTACAGTGATGGTATTTAGAGACCTTGTAATCGCAGGACAAAGGCAAGCACACAAAGAGGTATAGGGCCAGCGCTGTGGCACAGCAGGTAAAGCCACCAGCTGCCTGTGGTGCTGGCATCCCATATGGGTGCCGGTTCCAGTCCCGGCTTCTCCACTTCCGATCCAGCTCTCTGCTATGACCTGGGAAAGCAGTAGAAGATGGCTCAAGTCCTTGGGCCCTGCACCTGCGTGGGAGACCTGAAAGAAGCTCCTGGCTCCTGATTGGCCTAGCTCTGGCCATTGCGGCCGTCTGGGGAGTGAACCAGTGGATGGAAGACTTCTCTCTCTCTCTCTGCCTCTGCCTCTCTGTAACTCTGCCTTTCAAATAAATTATTTTTTAAAAAAAGAAGTATATAACATTTCTGAACTTTTGAGCTTCTCGGTTCTCAATGGCCAGTAACAGAAATGCAGGGGCCAGGAAGAAGGGCTGGCTTTGTAGGAATGCAGAGAGACAAAATGGTAAACTTTAGTCATGGTATAGTATTGGGCAGATTATTTCGTTAGAACCCATTTCTTATTTTTTAAAAAGTGAGTCTACTGAATAAAGTGGTTGTACACATTCAGGAAAACACCATGAAAAACATCTCCACTGCTTGACACCGCAAAGATGGGAAAATTCAGACAGCACTTTCCTAAGGCGATGTTTCTGGCTACCACGCGGAGGGCTTGGGATCTCCCTATTTCCTGTCTTCCCCCGGGGCACACTACACGTTGCACACGTGCGTGGGACTGCTGTGCCTCCCCACTCAGCTCCCACTCGGGCCCTACAGACAGGGGCCAGTTCGGCGTCATTTGCAGAGAGATGTCTCCGACAGGGGACGGAGTTCCCCACGCACAGACCGGGGACGTGTGGACACACATCCCAGAAACGGCGCCGACCCCTGAGGGTTTCTCAAGGCCAATGCCGACGAGGGGGGACTCCGTTCTCCTTGCTCTCCTCTTACGCCGTTAGCCAGGGCCCTGGAACCCCGGCGATCAAAGCGTCACAGACAGCAGCGCTAACTGCATGCAGCGCCGCAGAGCTGCAATGACTCCGAAGCCGACTGGGGTGTGCGATTTATCCGGACGGCGAGGGACGAAGCCCCGTCAACTCTCCGAGGCAGACTTCAGAGTTCATCCCTGTCAAATCCCCAGTCGGCCTCCTCCGCCCGCCCGGGGTGAACTGCGCAGCCAGAAGGCCCAATTAGCGGGGTGGGGGTGGGGGGTCTCCTCTGCGGATAGATTTTGGCTCCTCCCGAGTCCCGCAAGGCTCAAACCTCGCCACACCAAACATGGCCGCCTCGCGAGTCCCCGCCCCTCGTCCTCTCACCTCGCGCCCGCCTTCTGGCCACACTAAACGTGGCCGCCGTCGAAGGTTGCATTCCTGAGGAGCCGACTCGGGACAGTTCTCGCGAGGCTTGCCTGGGCCGCGACTGCTCCCGCCCTGCCTCGCGCCGCCGCCACCGCCGCCGCTGCCGGCGCCGCTCCTCCTCCGTGTCAGTTGTTGGGCTGTAATGGCGACTGGGCCGCCGCTGCCGAAGTGACTCCCGGGCGGAGGGGGGAGCGGGGCCAGCGCTGCGCCAGCGGGAACTGCAGAGCGCCGCAGCTCAGGGGCTGGCTCGCCGCGGGGGCAGGGAGGCCGCCCTCCGCCTCGCCTTCCTGCCCTGCTGACCGGCGGAGCCCGGGGGCCGGTGCGAGGCGGGCACTCGGTGCGTCCCCGGAGCGGGGAGGCCACAGGCCGGGCAGCCCTGGGGCCGGTCGGGGCGGCGTCACCGCACCCTCCGCCAGGCCCCGCGGGATGCACCGTGGGAGCCGAGGGCGGAGGCGACACTCTCAGGTGAGCCGCGGGAGGACCTGGCGCAGGGCGCCCGCTGGGTCTCGGCAGCCTCTGTCCGCGGTCCCGGGTCCCCCCGGAGGCGGGGCGCGGCGCGGGGAGCCCCGGCCGGGCGCGCAGGGCGGGCCCCCGGGTGACTCTCCCGGAGGCCCGGGGCTTGCGGGCGAGGGTCGTCCTGACCCCCGGGTCCCGGGTGCCTACCTGCCCGCGCGGCTGCAGAGAGGCGCGGTCCCGCTGCCCTCTGGTCCGCGGAGAGGTGTCCCGCCTGCGTCTCGGAGATTTGGGGAGATTCCTGGGGACTGGCCGCGGTGGCGGCGCTGACCGGTCTCGGTTCCCTCTCGGTGAGGTCGGCAAGGCCAAGTACGGCGTAGGGAAAACTTTGAGGTGCCGGGATGGCTGGGGGGGGGGGGGGGGGGGGGAGCGAACGGGCCGTGCGCTGTGCAGGGAAGTTGGCAGGATTGAATTAGACGCAGCCCAGTGCGCTCAGGGGTGCTTAGTGTCGCAGGCGTGGGTTGGCAGGGGCCTGGGTTTCGGTTTTGCAGCTGGGAAGTTGCCCGTAGGGGCAGGTGTTGATGGGGTGCTCTGGGGAGAGCGCAGGTGATGGGGTGGCGACCCCTGCACTCCCCCTGGGTCTTGTTGTGAGAAGTCGTTGGCGTTGCCATGCGAACCGCGCCTCCCGCCCTGTGTTTAAAGGGAGGGCAGACCTGGTACCGAGCCGAACGGTTTTGTGGAAGCAGTGATGCGAGTCCAGAAGCTGCCCTTCATTTTTTAAATTTATTGGAAATACTGTGTTTAAGCAAGGCCGGGTGCTGCTGACGACCGGCGATCCTGACCTTGGGGGATCAGCTCTTAGACCTGTGCTGGAAGTTACTTCCAACTCATGGGCTTGTAACTGGTTTTGGTGCGCTGAGTTGATGGCCAGTGTAATGAAATAAAGCCGAGCTACTGAGCTGTGGTCGCGTTAGATCGAAGATACTTTGATCAGAAAGTGAAGGTTGCGCTAGAATACATTGTATGTGTGGATATGTCCATGTGTATCCCGCCTTCCCGGAGGAGCAGAGCTTAGTGTGTTTGGAGATGCATGTGTGAGTTTCCCCGAGTTTCTGAGCTGTGTTGGTGTGTTGAGCTACGTAAGAAGGCTGATACTTGAGCAATCAGCCTTCTGCGGAGTCATCAATTTATGAATCATAAAGTTTTGAACTCTTTTCCGCCCCTGAGTCTTGGCCCATTTTGTATCGCTTCTGTCATATGGGCACAACGACAGAGATGTGGCTCCTGCATGATAGCCATTCTTGTTAAATTGCTATAAATTATAGCGAGAGCAAAATAAAAAACCATTTTCTGGAATAGCTGACATCACCTTTTCGTGTGCTTCCATATACATTATTTTATTTTGTCTTCACAGCAGTCTCCTGAGGTAGATATGCAAATTATCTTTTATGTTGCAGTTGTGCAAACCAACAGCGAAGTTCATTTACTTACTTGACTGCTACTTTAATTTCTGCAGATAACCTAGGATTAGTTTTATTTTAAATTAAATATTAATATAGATTCTTCTGTCACTTGATCTTATTTTTAAATATAAAAGCATTCTATTTTTGTTCCTTTTCACATGTCATTTGCTCCTTGTGTTGATGATTGTCAGTTCTTTAAAAAACAATGGTTTTGTAATATTTTGTTAATTATTAACAAGTCATGAAATTGTTATAATGGATCACTGTCTCCTATATGTACTTTTTGCCTGAACAAGGTTCTTAAGAAATTATATTTGATTTATTGTCTTTTTGTTCAGCTGTTCAGTTCTGTCATTTTTGATTCTTCAAATCATTTATATTCTTGGTTATGTAAACCAGATATTTAAGCCACATGATCAATAGCATAACTGAGAAGTAACTTCTTGATACATGTTGTTGTAGAGAAAACTGATGAATTACAAAGCTGTCTGCAGTTGGCATTGTCAGTTTGCAGTGTGGCACAAGTTGTGAAGTAGTTTACTGCCTTTTCTCATGTCAGACAATTTTTAGTGGCACAGATAGTAAAAAAAATAAACAAAACAAAAAAATTAAAAGCTTGCATCATGTTTTATTTCTGTGCTGATGCTTGTTCATTGTTGCCGTAAGTGTAGTTTTACACTCTCTCGGGTATTTGGGGTTGTTATATGCCTTTCTCGTCTGCTGTGTAAATTCCATGACGACTGTTCACTGCTGTGCACCCAGTGTCCAGCATGTAGTAAGACAGTCAGCACATTATCAGTCGAATAAATTGAATGAAGTGTGGCCCCAGGACAATATTTTACAAATAAAGCAAAATCTGGTTCCTGGTTCCTGGTTCCTGGGCACATCTCAGCTCTTCTTAGGAACGTGCTCTGGGGAGGTATGTTTAAATTTGCTAGGTGGCAGGGGAATGTTAGCCTGGGCTTACAGAGCCACTGAGAATGAGCCGCAGGTGGGTCTTGAACATTTTACTGACTGTTTTGATGACTTGCCCAGGTGCCCTGGCAGTAGGTGCTGTGCTTTAGAGAAGATAGAAGCTAAGGCCCTAGCCTGTCACACCAGAGCTGTGATTACAGGTTCCTGATGCCTGAGTCACGTCTGAATCACAGCATTGGGAGTTTTAAATCTTAAAGATCAATACGCACATTTTTTGCATTAGAAAACAGAGGATCCTATAGGGATCTTACCCATCTTGGAAGAACCCACTATGCACCTGCTAAGTCTACATTTGTTTACTGTGTCTGATCAGATCAGAGGGGAATTGTGATCAGCCTGGCCGTCTGTTTTGTACCAGTGTTAATTAAAAACTGAAAACTAACCTCTTTGCATGATCTTAGAATCTCCTCTCCTCTCTCATTGAGACTATAGATTGCTCTAGGTAGTACAACCTTCTGAGACAATTTGACATTATGTATCAAAATTTAAAATATATGTATTTGGGGCCTGGGTTGTGGCATAGTGGATCAAGCTGCTACCTGGGATGCCAGCATCCCATGTGGGTGCTGGTTCGAGCCCTGGCTGCTCCACCTCCCATCCAGCTCCTGCTAATGGCATGGGGAAAGTAGTGGAAGACCCCTGCACCCATGTGGGAGACCTGGATGAATCTCCTGACTCCTGGCTTTGGCCTGGCCCAGCCCCACCAGTTGCAGCCACCTAGGGAGTGAACCCCAGCAGATGGGAGATCTCTTTCTGGATCTCTCTCTCTTTCTCTCTCTCTCTCTCCCTCCCTATGTGACTCTCAGGTAAATGAATACATCCTTTTTTTTTTTTTTTTTTTTTTTTTTTTTTTTTGGACAGAGTTAGCAGTGAGAGAAAGTTCTTCCTTCCGTTGGTTCACCACCACCACCCCCCAACCCGGCCAAATGGCCGCTACAGCTGGCGCTGCACCGATCCAGAGCCAGGAGCTTCCTCCTGGTCTCCCATGCGGGTGCAGGACCCAAGCACTTGGGCCATCCTCCACTGCCCTCCAAGGGCCACAGCAGAGAGCTGGACTGGAAGAGGAGCAATCAGGACTAGAACCCGGTGCCCATATGGGATGCCGGCGCTGCAGGTGGAGGATCAACCAAGTGAGCCATGGTGCAGGCCCCAGTGAATATATCTTTTAGAAAAAAAATTAGGGGCCGGCACTGTGGCTTAGTGGGTGAAACTGCCGGTTGCAGTGCCGGCATCCCATGTGGGCGCTCCACTTCTGATCCAGCTCTCTGCTATGGCCTAGGAAAGCAGTAGAAGATGGTCCAAGTCCTTGGGCCCCTGCACCTGCTTGAGAGACCTAGAAGGAGCTCCTGGCTTTGGATTGGCACAGCTCCAGCCATTGCTGCCATCTGGGGAGTGAACCAGTGGATGGAAGACCTCTCTCTCTTTCTCTCTCTCTCTGCCTTTGTCTGTAACTCTGCCTTTCAAATCAATAAATAAATCTAAAAAAAAGTCATTAGTTGATTTCATTGTTAAGAAAAAAGTATACCTGTTCTTTAATGGCATAATTTAGTTTAACATAGCATGAGAATAAATGTATAACTATTCCCTTACTAATGGACATTTTCATTATATTATTGAAGAATTATATATTCAATTATATAATGCAAAAATGAAAATTTTTAAAATTATATGCTGTGAGCCACTAAAAAGTTATTAATAGGTTTCAGGATCTTTTTAAAAATATTTATTTATTTGAAAGAATTAGAGGGAGAGACAGAGGGGGAGATCTTCCATCTGCTGGTTCACTCCCCAAACACCTGCAGCAGCTGGCACTGGACCAGCTGGAGTCAAGGACCTGGAACTCTCTGAATCTCCCATGTGGGCAGCAGGCACCCAAGAACTTGAGCCATTATCTGCTGCCTCTCAGGGTGCACTCGCAGGAAGCTTGAGCAGAAGCAGAGGTGGAATTGAATCTAGGAGGTATCAAAGCAGCGTCTTAAATGCTGTGCCAGGTGCCTGGCCCCACGTGTATTTCTTGGGAGGGGGAGCAGTGGGGTTGGTGCAGGTTAAGCTGCTGCTTTTGAAAGCATCCCATGTGTAGTGCTGGTTCAAGTCTTGGCTGTTCGGCTTCCAGTGCAGCTTTCTGCCAACGTGCCTGAGAAGGCAGCAGATGATGATGCAGGTGTTTGGGACGTGAATCGGTTCCCACATGGGACTCAGATGTCACAGGTGTTGGCTTTACCCGCTGTGCCACAATGCTGGCCCTTAAATAAATCTTTTTAAAAATATATTTTTGAGTATATTTTTTTCAAGATCTACAGATTTTGGGACTGGTGCTTCGGCTCAACCAGTTAAAGCCCCAGGTGCAGTGCTGGCATCCCATATGGGCGCTGATTTGAGTTCTGGCTGCTCCATGTATGATCCAGCCCCCTGCTAATGCACCTGGGAAAGCAGCAACAGATGGCCCAAATGGTTGGGCCCCTGCACCATGTGGAAGACCTGGAAGAAGCTTCTGGCTCCTGGCTTCAGATTGGCTTGGCTCCAGCCATTACAGTCATTTGGGGGAGTGAACTTGCTTATGAAAGACTTCTCTCTCTCTCTCTCTCTCTCTCTCTCTCTCTCTCTCTCTGTATCTCTTTCTGTAACTCTGTCTTTCAAATAATAATAATAATAATAATAATAAATGATCTGCAAATTTCATTAAGAGAATATCACATGATTAGGTCCTGTTTCAACACTTGTTGATGGAAGTTTGAATAATATGTATTTTTAATAGATTTATGACTTTTATTTCCTTTTTTTTTTAATATTTATTTTTTACTTGAAAGGCAGAGTAACAGTGAGGCAGAGGCAGAGAGAGGTCTTCCTCTGCTGGTTCACTCCCCAAGTGGCCACAACTGCAGGAGCTGGGCCAATCAGGAGCTAGGAGCCAGGAGCTTCTTCTGGGTCTTCCACATGGGTGCAGGGGCCCAGGGACTTGGGCCGTCCTCTGATGCTTTCTCAAGTGCATTAGCAGGAACTGGATTGGAAGTGGAGCAGCTGGGAATCGAACCAGCACCCATATTGGATGTTGCCACTGCAGGCAGTGGCTTTACCCTCTGTGCCACAGTTCTGGGCCCTAAGTTTTATTTCTTAATTGACAAAGTAAACCCATAGGCTAAATTAGTGTTTATTTGTTTTGTTTTCCTTTTTTATTTTTTTGAGCCCATAATTTAAGAAACTAAATTATTTATTTGAAATGCAGGGAGACAGATCTCCCATCTTCTGGTTCATTCCCCAAATGCTCACAACAGCTGTTGCTGGACAAGTTAAAGCCAGGAGCCAAGAAAATCTGGGTCTCCCATGTGGGTGACAGAGATCCCGTACCTGGGTCATCGTCACTGCTGCCCTCCAGGGTGCACATTAGCAGGAAGCTGGGATGGCAAGGGGACCCAGAACTCAAACTCAGGGCACTCTGGTCTGGAGTGCAGACGTTCCGAGCAGAGGCTTAGCTGCTGCACCAAACTCTGCCTCAGAGCAGTGTTTCTTAAACCCAGGCCTCTCGAACTTGGACTCAGCTACCATGCAGTGGTGTAGCGAATTCACCTGGACACTGGGAGATTTCGAGGATTTCAAGGGAAGTATGGTGATGTTTGACGGCTGTGTGATATCTGTGGAATTGAGGTAGCACATATGAAATTGTGCTGTGTTTATTTCCATGACACTGTGTCTTCAGAAAGCCAGGCTTTGGCTGGTGCCGCGGCTCAATAGGATAATTCTCTGCCTGCGGCGCCGGCACCCCGGGTTCTAGTCCCAGTCGGGGCGCCAGATTCTGTCCCGGTTGCACCTCTTCCAGGCAAGCCCTCTGCTGTGGCCTGGGAAGGCAGTGGAGGATGGCCCAGGTGCTTGGGCCCTGCACCCCATGGGAGACCAGGAGAAGCACCTGGCTCCTGCCTTCGGATCAGCGTGGTGCGCCGGCTGCAGCGGCCATTGGAGGGTGAACCAACGGCAAAGGAAGACCTTTCTCTCTGTCTCTTTCTCTCACAGTCCGCTCTGCCTGTCAAAAAAAAAAAAAAAAAAAAAAAAAAAAAAAAGAAAAAAAAAGAAAGAAAGCAAGCAAGCAAGCAAGCAAGCCAGGCTTTGAGGCTGGCAGCCGGCATTGCGGTATAGCGGATAAAGCCGCCTCCCGTGATGCCGGCACCCCATATGGGTGCTGGTTCATGTCCTGGCTGCTCCAGCTGCCTGCTTGCACAGCTGGAAAAAGCAGCAGAAGATGGCTCAAATGTCTGGGCTCCTGCCAGCCACGTGGAAGACCCAGATGGAGTACCTGGCTTCTGGCTTCAGCCTGGCCTAGCACTGGCTGTTGTAAACATCTGGGGAGTGAACCAGCAGATAGAAGATAGCTCGCTCACTCTCTCTCTCCCCCCCTTTCTCTGTCACTCTGATTTTCAGTAAATAAATACATCTTTTAAAAAGGATGGGGAGGCAGGCTAGTAGTTGATGTGACAGGATGCCCATGTGCCATGTGCTGGGTTTGAATCTGGCCCTTTTCCATTATTTTTTCCCTTCAAAAAGTGGAGCACATCTGCTTTTTCAAAATTCAGAAACATATACACTGAAAAAAATGGTTCCTATCCTAGACACTCACTCTCCCTCCTCGGAGTTAGCCAGCAGTAACAGTTTTGTGTGTATCAGGGAAGCTGTTTTACACCTTAAGGCAAAAAATAACCCTGGTTTGAAGACACTAAGATACTTTTTTGGGGTATGTTCCTTGAAATTCATCTAGGAGACAACTAGGTAGT